TAAAGGTACGTGTTTATAATAACGGTTTGTGTTTATATTAACGGTACGGGTTTATATTAGCGGTACGTGTTTATAAAAACGGTACGTGTTTATATTAACGGTACGTGTTTATATTAACGGTACGTGTCTATATTAACGGTACGTGTTTATATTAACGGTACGTGTTTGTAAAAACGGTACGTGTTTATAAAAACGGTACGTGTTTGTAAGAACGATACGTGTTTATGATAACGGTACGTGTTTATGATAACGGTACGTGTTTATAATAAGAGTACGTATATATAATAACGGTACGTATTTATAATACTGGTACGTGTTTATAATAACAATACGTGTTTCTCACACGTCTTCTTCACCCTCTTTCCTCACAGCCCATGCGGTGGATGCTGCGTGTGTTGGCGTGGCAGCCGTACATGATGCGATGGTCACGCTTTCGCGTACGCGAAGCTCTGAATACGGTGTACACTCTCAGCATCCTGATCATTCTGCTGTACCACTACTACATGGACTCCTTCCTGTGCTATATCTGGTCCTCGTAAGTGGCGAATTAGTCCAGTATTAGTTGTTGTTTAGGTTTGTATTAGTTGTGAAACTCTGAATACGGTGTACACTCTCAGCATCCTGATCATTCTGCTGTACCACTACTATATGGGCTCCTTCTTGTGCTACATCTGGTACTCGTTAGTGTTGAATTAGTTCTATATTAGTTGCATTCGTAGTTACATTTGTATCGTGAGCCGTTATACACTTTCAAATTTGTTCTGTATCAGTTGTATCCCAGTGTGTATTAGTCTCCTGAGATTCGTCAACTCTCATTGCCCCGATGCCAGAACCACATTATCCTGTCCTGTCCTTTCCTGTCCTGTCCTGGACAGGACAAGACAGGACTGCATTTGTACTCAGTTTCGGGTCCTTCTGATGTGAGTGTGTATCCGCGTTACTATACAGCTGCTGCACGCACTCGTGGCTATGCTACGTGTTGGTTGGGTGCATATCCAAGTACTAATTATTAAACCAATTTGTCTTGAGAAATGAATACTGTCGATAAGGCTGTACCAAATTCTGTATGCTCACTTTTTGTCAGATTTGGACATTCGTAGGTATCTGTGTTTGTATGTGGATGGTTTTAGGTGACTTGTATTTCGTGTGTAAGTAAGTACTTCCTGTGGTACGTGTGGTTGTGTTCATATATCATAATCATATAGCAGTGGACTGTTTTAGGTGACTTGTATTTCGTGTGTAAGTAAGTACTTCCTGTAGTACGTGTGGTTGTGTTCATATATCGTATTCATATATATCCGATATCCCTCACATGTCGTGATTCTACTGTGATGTTATAATTGTGCCTTCATTGTCACTCTCACCAGTTACGTCGAAAGCACACCCGCGTAGCCCAGCACGGATCCTTTGAGTTTATTTTCTATAAATTTCAAATCTCTCGTCACGATTACCCTTTCTTTCTTGACGTTACATTATCTGCATAAACCCAAAACCCTACAACCCTCCCCAGGGGCCCTGCATCTACAGATAAACACGCCCATACTAAGACAAATCTACAAACCATCATTACTTTAAACCCAACATTCTCCTTCAGTCAAGTGGCGTGTCTGGAGTGTCGATACGTCATCCGCTATATCATCCCCAATGCACTACATCTGCTGTCGTATCTGTCGGCGTGGTACTACTTCCGCATTCAGAGGTCAGGCTTCGATCAGATAGAAGCTTTGATCCAGACGGTTTTCCTTCAGGTGCGTGTAGGGTATATATATATATATGTGGGTGGGTGGGTGGGTGGGTGTGTATGTATTCATGTGTTTACGTATGTATGTATTTATTCATTTATTTGTGTACACACAAATACATAAATATGTATATGTATATGTATATATATACATATATATATATATATGTG